AACTCAAGAACCAGAAAAGCTAGAAGACTGAAACTTTAGGAATATATGTCTACACCATGTGCAACCCTTTCGTTTTAATATCACCGTTGCGTGCCCCTGAGTGCCGCGTATGGCTGCCTTAAAAAATATGCAAATTTTATGACGGGAAAGCGATCTCGGGAATCAGACAAGATAGATGACTGAAAGTTTGCAAAAATATTCCCTATACATGAGATAAAGATTTCAAACTCATTCCCCAGGTACAAAAGTTTTATTGGGAAAATTGCTTACTCGGCAACCAAAAAAGCTTGAAGACAAATATTTTAAGAGTATACTCCCCGTCCATGTACAAATTAAAAGCTTCAAATTCGGTTCCCCAGTATGCTTGGTACTTAAGCACGAAAGTTTTGACGAGAAAAATATTAACGTTTTGACGGAAAAAATATTAACTCGGGGACCAGAAAAACTTAAAAGCTAAAATTTTAGGACAATGTTCCCTGTTAAAGTACAACGTAAACATTTCAATCTCAGCTTAGAGGCATGCTTGGTTCTCAAGTATGAGCGCTTGAAACTTTTAGCGGGAAAGTTGCTCACTGGACAGCTAAGTTATTTTCAGTGAACAACTGCTAAACGGAAATTGTTCATTTACTTTATGCAAAATTTACGATGATTTACGCTAGTGAGTGCAAAAGCAATAACCATTCGTGCAGTTAACAGCCCTGAGTACTTCAAGTCTGGTGCAAAAAGGCACGATCGCGCCAGCAAGCCTGGTGAATTCCAGCCTGGGTTTTTCTTAGTTCAGCAATACTAACAATGCACTTTAAAAAACTAATAATTATGCGTTATTGTGGAAAAATGTGACAAGCAGAATCCGGCAACTAGGCGACGGTGATATTTTTACCTCAGAAGACGATTATCGAAACGGAACAAAACTTAGAATGCGTTGATTACACAGGCGAGACGATGACTTGAATAGAGAAAAAACGCACTAACTTCACAGCCAAAATTAAGAGCTTTTATACTTACCACGGCAGAAGAGCAATTTTTAGAAAGGTCATGAGGGTAGGGAAATATTGTTGTTAGTCGTTTCCGGATCGCTAGACGTTTCTGGGTCTCTCTTTTTTGACTTGTACTCTTTTGCTCTTAACAGAATACCATTTGTTAAGCAATTCTTTAAATTTTTTTATTTCTTTATAAAAAAAATGACGCAGTGAGAAGTAGCCCTGTAATCATGTAGCCAATCAAATCAATCAATCTACGTTTTGTTCACTCATTCTGAGGGTAAAGCTGTATCGGCATAAGCCAGAGAGTTAAATTCGTCATCAGCTTGCTTGTAAGCAGCCTTCAGAAGAGGGAGCCACCGACAGCCTTGCCAGCGTGTGGCTCTTGTTGGCATTCGCTGCCACTCGGGCAGCTCCCCGAGCACGTCGGCCTTTCACTGAGAGGGAATACGACGGGGATTTTTAGTTTCTGTAAAACAGGTGCTAACCGGTGTGTGTGGGGCCGAAGCGGGTTCACGTAAATTATGAAATATTTGAGGCTTTTTTGACCGCAAATATTTGGTGACTCTTTTGGCTTCAAGTTGAGGTTCTACATACTAATTTTTTATGCGTTTCTGCTGTGCAGCGCTATAGCGCAGCTACAGCCAGCAAAAATGCTTATTGTCGAGAGGCTGTGTGTGTGTATGTTCGGAAAGCGAGTGCATTTTGTCACCCACTTTCATCTCAGCAACCAGGAAAGCTGGGAGGCTGGTTTGGATATATGTTCCTACCCCGTGTGACATCCTCCCGTTTTAAGATCTATCCCCGAACGCGCCTAGACCCCGCGTACGGGACCCCCAAATAAATATGTTGGCGGGAAACGAGTTCGCGAACCAGGCAACGTAGGAAGCTGAAACTTTGCAGGGATATTCTCTATGCATGTGCGAGCTAAATATTTTAAACTCAGCTGTCGAGCACCCCAACCACAGCCTCAAGTAGCTCCTAAACCCAAAAACTGTTAGCAGCTCGGATCTGAACGGCAATTGTATATGCGAATGAACATGGATTTTTTCAAAAACGACCCTTCGAACAACACTTCCAATTTTTCATGAACTGGAAATTTGCATATTTTCAAAAAATATGCATTTGTCATTTTTTCACAAAGCGAGCATTTACCGAAAAAACGACCGGAATTCATGCAAAAAACCGGTAACAAGTACCTGGAGGTCCGTGCGACCTTATAATGCACCACCTTCATCCCAACTGACGCCCCTCCTCCTGCATACCGGATAGGATCAAAGCACACCAACATGACCCAAGTGTTAGGCTACAGCGTAGGGATCATTCCTGCTATTGACTCTGCGAGCTTAATGCAAAAACGTGTGATCGCACCGGCAAGCCTGGTCCGTTCCATTGTGGGTTTTCTATGAACAAGCATTCGCC